CTCTCCTAAATAATGATCGTCAAAACTTATCAAAAGAATCACTTAAACAACTAAATATGTTGTATTTTAATCGGGATAATTAAATTTAATTTTTTTTTATTAATTGTAAATAAAATTGTAATAAAAAATTTTCACATAATATCACAAAATATTATAAAAAATGTTACAAAATCACACAAAATCAATAAAAATTAGATCACAATACAACACAAAATTGATTTACATCGCACACAAAATTTACTTTATATTACCATAAAAAATCATTGTCTCTGCGTTGCAGTCATTTTTTTTATTTTTATCAAAAACGCCTATAATATGATCAATCAAATTTATTAAGTCGCAATTCTATATCACATGATCAGTAATGGTGTTAGGGTAAAAAACGATTTGCCTCATTGTTTGTACTTTTGGGTAATGTAACTATGCTGAAGTTTCTTATGTCAGCTGATCTCTGGCGATGAGAACTTCCCTTGTGTCTTTGGATACTTAAGAGAAGCTATAGCTTTATATCAGCCAGTCTTTGGCAATAAAGTTATGAGTTACTTGTGATTAACAACTGTTCACGTCGGCCAGTCTCTGACAGTGACAGTTGATTTATTGATTTCGCTGAAGTTTCTCATATCAGCCGGTCTTTAGCGGTGAGAACTTCCCTTGTGTCTTTGGATACTTAGGAGAAGCCATAGTTTCGTTTCAGCCGATTTCTGGCAATGAAGCTACGAATCAATAAATATCCAAGTTATTTCTTAGTAATCACAGCCTTTATCAGTCAAATCAGATAATAATACATTACATGGTTAAAATTTATAAACCTGATCAGGATCCTAGGCTATTTAATGCGAGTCTTAGCATAAGTTATTTTTTTACTCTTGGGATAATTTTTACAGATAATTTATTTTTACATTGATTACTAACCATTATTTACAATAAAAAAATTTAATGCTATCCTGTACATAAAGATCATCAAAGGGACATTGGATCATTATTTATTTCACGTAAAGTGGAGAAGATGCGAGAATGATTTTTTTAACTTGATAGAAAACGTAATCATATATTTAAGGTATTATCATTTCTTTGATTATTAATAGTGTCTATAGTTTATTTCTAGAATTAGAAATGTATTCTCTGACAATTATACAAATCATTTAGCAGACAAAGAATGAATATTAATTCAGTTTAATTAGCAAGAGATTATATAATGCTGATAAATCATGAATTACTTTACTGATAATCACATTGACTCACGAAGTTTAAAAATAAGGTTGGTATTTTTATGAGCACTATGTTCAAAATGTTTATTCTTAGTGAAGTTCATCATCAACAAAAAAATATTTAACATTAAAATGTATTTCTGAGGTAAAGATTAGGTTACATGAAGACATGTGCTGAAAATAAATAGCGAAGCTAGCAAGGCTAATATAAAAATCTCGGATGCAGATCATCTTTAACATGGATGTGCTAGCTTTTCAGCTATTTTCTAAATGAGATTTTATTCTATTAATATGCACTGATTGAATAACGACGATCTGATTTTGTATAAGTTTTACTGGTATTTAAATCATAATAATATCCTTTATCATCATCATCAGAAAAACCATAGAACTCATTATCACCCTAAATGCATTAGCAACATCCTCACTCTGTGAATCATCTTCGTTGTTATCGTAGACATCTTTAAAATTACATTTATAGCCAGAATCTTGATCATTATTTACATCCAGTAAAGATTTTTCAGATCCTATAAGTGCTCTTCAAGCGTCTCCTCACATATCTCAACCTCTGGTAAAGATTTAAATATAATAGCATTTTTATAATATAAACCTTCACTTATTTCATCAACATCAGAAGAATTATCAGTGAATTCTATATCAGGCTTCTTGGCGAAGTGATCTATAATCGTTTGAATTTGAGTATTAGTAAATTTTGAAATTGTATCTGCACTATATGTTTTGATGTATTGAATCTTGTCTATTCCTATTCTTTCGAATAAATTGTCAATCCTTAAAGCTTTCTGTATCTACTTACATAAAGTTTTGCGTTTGGTATCTGGTAGCTGTTTGACAATAAAGTTATATACCTGACCTTTCACCTTCTTTTCCCCAACTTTATTACTGATCATAAAATCTCTATACATACTTTTGAATTCTCTAGCATAGAAACACTAACGTAATGTTTCTTCTCTATTGGCTTTGATTGCACTTATTTTTGCATTATATATATTTTTATATAGACTAATAATATCTTCATTATCTGGTGATAAGTGGGACATGGCTAGAATAGATGGAGTTATTGAAGTCTCATTATTTGGGCGAACCAAGTTCGCTAAAATTTCAGTCATATACTTTTCTTCCTTAAATGAAATCATTTCTCGAATCAAGCCCTGTTCGTTTTTCTGCTCATAGGAAGTAGATGCAGTATTCTGGAAAATTGAGAGTGCCTCCTGGTTAGGTTATCCATACTGAAGCTTCTCCTCATGCTTTCTTTGCCTGATCGAATCACCAACTCTTTACTTATGTGTCTCATCCAAGGTTTCATCCATTATCTTGTCTTCCAATAATTTACAGGTCTTCGACTTCTGACATACGCCAGAATTTAAAGTGATATCAGATATATCAGATACGTCTTCTGGCATTTGTTTAGATTTATCATCTTCCAGTAAAGAGAGCATTGAATCTCTGATTCTTCAGATTTTGTCTGGATATATTCTATTTCAGGTGAGTGGTCAGGAATAATAGTTTCTTCAGATGCGATAGCATAGTGTAAACTAGCATTCCCACTGATAGGTTGCGGAATATCTTTTGTAGAAGATGCTCTCAGTTCATTAGTAATGACCTGAGTTTGCCTCTGTTTCAATTTCATGATTCTATCTTTAAGCTCAGTATTCTCAGCAGTGAGCTTAGCAGTATCCGTTTTATTTTTTCTCTCCAACTCTTCAAATCTGATTTTAAGCTCAATGCTCTCTTCTATAACCTGTCTTAACTTCAAATTTTCAGCCTCGATCTCAGCATATTTCTTTCTAAGTTCAGGAATTTCAGCGTTCTCCTTTCTAAGATTAGTAATCTTGACTAAGAGCTTCGAATTTAGTACTTTCAAAGAATCAATCTTAGACTGAGTGTTTGCCATTTTTTAAATAAAATATAGATAAGTTCAAAAGTGAATTTAAAAAATTATCATTATACAAAAATTAATTATCGTAAAAAGACCATTTAGACCTGATTGTTTTATTGATACAATATAAAAAAATACATGTGAAACGGATGCTATCTACTCACTATTTTTTAGTAATTTTTTCTTATACGCATCGCTTCTTATTTTCAGGTTCATCACACGCTAACACCCTATCTTTCAATAACCCTATAACTATACTGATTACCTGTTTTATATCTTCCCTCAGACTTTCCTGATTTCCTTTGAGCGCTTTTTTCGTAAGATTTATTTGATATTCGCTATTACTAATGCAAAAAATTCCTTCAGAAGTGAACATGATAAAATGCCAATCCGCGCCTAAAAATAAATCAAATAATTAGCAAAGCCAGAACGAAGATCATGATAAGAGTTGCCTTATGAATCTGCTTCATAATAGAAAATTTTTCTCATACCAGTTGACACAATCCCATATAGATAGTCGTAATCCTCAGCCTTAAATGCTTCGTCCGCAATTCGCTTCTTCTTGTTCATGTAGAAAGAACTCTCGAGTTGTTTTATATTTTGAAGGTAACCAATCTTAACATTTGTGATTTTCCCTCAGTGATACACAAAAGATCCTTCATCCCAGTTATAGCGTAATCAACTCTTCCAGATGCTTTTTTACCTGAAATATCCCTTTGTAATTCTATATGGATTTCTTTATTAGTCATTCTTCTCGCAATTGATATTGAAGCGTATAATACAGATGAAATAAATTCGCAATGCATTGCTTCATTAGCCTCTATTATTGATTTTACATTTGTTAAACATAGTATTATTTTGTTCATGCACTATTCAAGGGCTTTATCGTTATCATTTATTTTCTCAGAAACTATTACGAAAAAATGTTAGCCCATCTTCAATCACTTTGCCAAGAAATTTTAACGAACTTGATTCACCCAAATAATGCCAAGAAAAAAATACCACATACCTGGATTGAATTACTTGATGCTTGTTATATCTTCACCGTTAACTTTATATTTGCGAAGTACATCTTTTAATTCTTTTAGCGTTTTGTATGATAAGAAACTTCGCAAGTCTAACTGCCAGTTCACCTTTTAAACTATAACTGCGAAACTTTTCTTTCGTAGTCTTGAGAAAGTCATGGCCAGAAATTTTTCATTGTAAAATATTTTGAAGTCTGCTTCAATAAGTTTTAGATCTCGCTTCTGTAAATAGTCAATAAGCTTCTCTGTATCTAGATCCTTCACAACGTTCACCATCGTACGAGTTGACCTTTCTTCAGTCAAAGTGAAGGATGTAAAAACAGGTGTGGAAAGCAAAGACATTTTTTATATCAGTATAAGGCGTAAAAAAATTCTTGTTTATGCGATACATTTAATGAAACAAAATAATGCAAGGGAAGAGAATAAAAAATTTTTTCTTTTATTTTTAGGTGGATTAGTGGCTTTTTATATAAATAGATTACACAACTCAATGGTAAGTACACAACAATCTTGGAGATTGCGGAGATTTTGACTTTCTAAGATATAAGTTCCTTGATATACGCATTAATAGAGATTAATAGGCTAATCTTCCTAATTGCCTTTTTGAGATTTGTTTACGCTAGTTCTTATCGCAGAAGCATATTTAATATAGAAACAATTTCAATAAAAGTAAAGCAGAAAATAACTACTATTTATGTTGTACTAACTCTTACGCTGATCTCTGATTTGCAGATTTAATACACATAATATGTTTTTTGTCACTTATTTTTATTTGAGCTATACACAAACTGGTTATTTCTTATGACCTGTTTCTTGATAAAAAAAACCAGCAATGAGTTAAAAAGAGCCATAAAGGGGATTAGTAATTTTATCAAATTTCATATATTACAATGACCTAACATTTTCCAGATCATCACGATCATTGACTTTTTTATGGCATAACCATGAGTCTCTGACTTTACTTTACAAGTGAGATCATCTAAATTAAGGAGTTTGTTTGTTTAGCATCCAAAAGTTTCAATCTCCTATATCTACAGGTATAAGTAATTGCATCACAGGCATAATCTGCCAGGAATTATCCATTAAATAATTATCAAGATCCCAACCTTTCACAGGATCGGCTAACGTATCCAAGAGTGTATTATGTTCTTTCATCCTAAATGCATTAGACCTAGAGAATGATCAAATAATCTATTTTTTTTCTCGATCAAATATGTCTGGAAGACGTCTGGTAAATTCCATGAGTACTGCTCCCTAACATCTACAGTGAATAAAAAAAATCTTGCCAGAGATATTCTCGAAAATTTATATATTTTCGCAGTGCTCCTATTTTTAGATCCATATGTGCTATTTTTATAATATAGTTAATATATACTATTTTGTATTAATGGAGATAAGATCTTATGAAATGCCGTTCGATCAATAAAAAATTATTCTGGTATATATCATGTGCAGTACTCAATAATATGTTATTATTATATTTCTCTGCAGTAACTACACATATATTGTTTTAAATATCATATGATACCGCTCCCTCTGAGATCAGTGTCAAGTGACCCTTTACAACTGAAATTATAATGATATTGGCAAAATCATATGTCTAGATAATTAGTAGCCAATTATTTTCTGATCACATGATACAAATTATATCGATTTTTAGAAAAAAATAAAAATAAATTTGAGGTCTCAAAAAGGCGGGTTATTTATTAGAATCTATGTAAATATATTTGGGCTAATGTTTTCTATTACATTAAAAAAAAAATTAGAGGCAGGATCATTTATTAGAATCTATATATATTTAAATATGCATAGCGTCAGCCAATGATGTTATTCAATCAGAATCAGTTAGCATTAGTTCCTCATTTAGATCTAAATCATCTAAATGATTTTCAAGCCCATCTGATCAAGAAAAAGTAGTTCTAATTCTTTTTTGAATCACCTCCATTTCTTTTTCATTAAATTTTCCAAAAGCCAATAAGCTGAATTTTCTAATTCGCTTGATATCATCTCTTCCTAAACCTTTCACACCGAATATCTTGTAATTATTTATAGCTGAATGTTTTTTTTTGTTAAAGATATTACAAGATATGTTGAAGGAAAATTGACGCTTAATTTCTGTATTAAGCAAGATTTACACAGTTTAAAGAGGGTGGTTAATTCTAAATTCAGCTAGTTTTTTCACCAATGCTTCTCTGAGAAGATATAAAGAATTGAGAACTTTATATTCTGTACAGAATACTTCATGTGTTTTTTCTTTAAGAATTTTTTTAGCCTGAACTATTTTGTTATATAATCTGACAAATATCATTTCTGAAGTAGGATTCTCTGTTTCTTCAACCAAATTCTCAGATAATAAACTAAAGTCTTATGATTTCTTAGCTAAGTCTTTAAAAGTTTTTCAATCATATATTCTTCTTCTTGTAAAAGTAACTGTGTATTATCATCTCTAAGATAAATAGATTTTTGATAACGAGAACAGGTTGTATCCTTTTTTAAAAAAATAATAATATATCTAAGATGAAAGCTATGAAGACAGGACAATTTCACGACTGCTTTCAAGATAGCTCTATTAGGTTCAAATAATAGATCAGCTTTATTACACAAAGAACATATTTTGGGTTCCCCTTGAGAAATTGTTGGTATAATGAGTTGATTTCAGTAATAAGAGATACTTCCGTTAAGTATACGTTTACTTTAGTCGAAGGTTTAGCTTGAATCTCCAAATATATCTTTTTCAATAGTTAATGGAATATGCAGAAGAGTGTTATTAGATCTTTCTAATTCTATTAGTATTATTTTTTGAGATGCAATTTATGAAGAAGAGTAAAAATATAGGGTTTTATACTTTCTAAACACCCTACTCATGATCGTAAAATTATAACAACTGGAACTTGCTAGAAGAAATACTCTTATTAGTCTTTTTGGATGACAAAGGTCTTTATTATCAACTGAAATATGTAATGAGGTATTTTTTTTCTAAACTGCTGAAATTTGCTATTATATAATCCAGCCAAGTATGATCACATATATGATAGGGCAACTGGCTTATCACTGTCAAAATATAAAACAAGACGAGATTGTAAGCGTGTTTGATTATATAGAGCTAAGTGATTATCTGAAGTCAGATACTCATCATTAATATTTTTTTTTTGTAACGATCATCTAGCATAGTAATTGAAATCTTTTATATTAATACATTCAGAAAAAGCCCCATTCATTTGTAATTTATTTCATATATCGTGAAAAATGTAATCATATATTTAGGCTATATTTCTGATCTAAGATCTAATGTATTGCAAATAAAAAATTTTATAAACCATCTATGTGTTATTTATCCAGTAAATATATATATATGCTAAATTTTTGGCAAAATACCTTTGACTGATCACCCGCTAATAGTGCATTCTAATACAGGTTAATTTACAACTCAGGATCAGTTAGCATTAGACTATAAGATCGTTAGCAAAGATCTAGGAACTTTCATAGTTTGTGACAATTGTAGCTCTTAACTGCGAAAGGGTCTTATTAATTATAAAAACAGTATATATTAGAGAAAAACAATTTCTAGTAAAAAAAAATCAAGCCAAATAGCTTTTGCCCATTTACAATTGAAACAAAATTCTGTGCATACTCTTAAAAACTCTAATAAAATCACTTGAACTAATTTCTCATCTATCTCTGCAAAATGCTTTCAAACTCTAATAGTTTTTGATCGTATTCTTCAGCATCATAATTATAATCTATAAGATGCTAACCTGAGGTATCATAACAATAGAGATGCTTCAAGGCATTTTTTCAGGGAATGCTATAATATATATAATCTTTACGATGGTGATTATATTTTTACGCAAATATTTATTTCCAGCTCTGACAAAATCATAACTTGCCAAACTCGAAAAATCTTATTTTTATTATATCAAAATATATAAAAAAAAATCTTTATTGTGATAAATTTTACAAAATAATTTTAATAAAAATATATTTAAAACTATAAAAGAATCTTGTTTTCAGGTGTCTGTCACATTTTAATATTATACGAACTTTTAGTTACAAGTATTACGCGATCTTTTATTTTTTTAATACATTTCAAAGGATTGTTTTTTCAGGTGAAATTATACAGCCTATATTGGATCATCTAATGTTATGAATTTTCAGCTTAACATATACTGTTTTTCTTAACACATCGCACAAAATATGATTATTATAATTTTACGTAGTTTGATTAACATGTAATGGTTAAATTAGACTTGAACTATATTTCAGCTAAACTGCCCTACATATATCAGACCTAGTGTTTTTTTAACGTATATATTTAAAACTATTGATTAGCTAATCATCTTATATAAATACATCATGCAAAGCATCTCTGGATAATCTTCCTATTAATCACGAGAGATCTACAAACTGAAAATAACGGAAGAGTACCAGGGACTAACGAAGTGCTAAAAAGGAGCTAGGTATATTATAATACAATGATGATCATATTGTGTATATTGTCTTAGATCTAATTTAACTGAATCAAAACAATTAGTTATAAAATCCATATAAATTTGAATGATAATATTCTATAGTATATGTTACTCAAGAATTTGTAAATCAATAAAATTAATATAATTTGCTAAATATGAGTTGTTATCTTGGCAAGTATTATTAACATTAATATGATTATTGATAAAAACAATGGCAGTTACCTAAGCCTGTCAGTAATCATTCTGGATATAATATGAAATATTATAGAATATATCTCAAAAATTACTGTAGTGATATAGATGTCAAAAAATTTTTTGCTAATGAAAAAATCTATGATAGATTATCGATAATGAGAAAGGGAGAGTCTTCAGTACAGTGAGGATTATGAGTTAAAAGTACTCTCTAATATTTATTATTACGAAATAAAAATAGCATATACTATAGTTTCTGCTTGTTTGCAGGATTTGGTGAAGGCAAATTTGACGAATCATATCATTTTTATTATTATCCTAAAATCCATAAAAACAATATGGCAATCTGCTTTCGTTGCTGAAAACTATTTTGAGTTAATGAAATAAAGCCAACCAAATCATATCACCATGGATGGTATAGATTCATTAAATTAATTGAAGCTAAGGACATGATGCAGAAACATTAGGATCAAGAATGTTTCGATCCTTTAAGTAATCTTGGACAGGTTAAGCAACAAGCTTTTGAGTTACACTCGTCAACTCCAAACATATTATTTATCTCATTTCTGTATGCAAAATAAAATAACTTATTATCATTCACAAAACATTTTAATTAGCCAAAAGGTATCACAATAAGATTGAAAGATAGAGTAGAAATCATGATTGTTTAACTATTTTGACTGACCAATTCTGAGCAATATAAATTATTATTTTTAACTATATAATATTTCAACTATATTCCATTTTTTTATGCTATATAATTTATATGTATGATCGTCTAGTATAATTGTGAAATGTATCACCTGCAGGATAAAAAACCTGATTTGCTTATTCTAGATTAGATCTTCTAATTTATAATGAAGTATTATTTAGGAAGATTAATGAAGCAATCTTGGGGGTTCTTGATTCCTAAATACTATTATAATTATAGTTTTGAAAATTTCTATGTAACACTTATCCAGTAAGCTTAGGGCTGTAACATTTATTACGTAATATCACTTTACTATAAAGCCCAACCCTTACACCCTCACGTAAGATAATTATTCTATCACGTGATATTAATAAATTTTACTGCACTATTTATGTTACATTTTTTATTAAGGGGTGATAAATTACGTAAATACTTTCTATTTTTATATTAATGCTGTACTTTTATTTTTATACAAATATATACCCTTTTAATATATTTAACTGCAAAGAGTTTGCTATTTTAATATAAAATTAAAGAATTTTCATGTCTTGATTGCTGTTTTAATATAAATTATTAACGAATTTTTATGTCTTAATTGCTGCTTTAATATAAATCATTAATGTTTAATATGTCTATAAAGAGAATTTTAATAATTTCGTGTTTTAATAAAAAAGTTTCACGAATTATTGCTACTATAAATGCATCTTAACTCTCAAATTTTAAAGTTTTTAAAAATGAGCTGTCAAACCTACTTTTACAGCCCTAAATTCAATAAAAAATTAATTTTTAATTCACCAAATAATAAATATCAAGAATTTACCAATACTTATGTGTATAGTACTATGTTAAAAACAGAAAATAGTACTCCAAATCATGCTATTATTTTAAAGATGCAGCAAAAGAATGGAGAAATATTAAAAATAAAAGTACTGCTGAAATTGACAATATAATTAAAAAATATATGACTACTCCAATTAACCCATACTTTATACCAACAATAAGAGCAAATTACTCTAATCCTAGAGTAGAACTAACTCCTCCGCCTATTATTAATCCAATTGAACCTGTGCTGGAAGTTCCTAGGAATACATCGGCTCAAAAAAAGATAGCAGACAAAATTAAAATAGCCGAAAATAAACTTGCTGAATTAAATCAAATTTACAATATCACAACAGATTTTCAGCTTAAAAATGATATACATTCAAAAATTGCAGAAGCTGAATCTGAAATTAGCATAAATAAGGATAAAATTAGCAAATTAAAATGAAATGCAAGATACGCACAGAATTGCAAAGCAAAAAAACTTAAAATGCTTACTAAAAATCAAGAAGTAGTTCGATATGATCATCCTGGACACCCATCACTACTTTTTGAACATCCAGATTTACACGATCAGATTCATGATTCAATTGAATTTGGATTAGCTGATTCGAAAAGAAGAAAAGAAGCTGTTAAAGTGAGGATCATTGAATATTTGCGTAAAAATCTTGAAGAAAATTACAATGTATATATAGCGTGAATAACACTAAACAATTATCTCTTACCTAAATAAACTAACTCAATTGCTGCAAAAGCTCATCATCATCCAGCATGGGTTGCTGTAGCTGGAGTTTCACGTACAGATTCTCAAGAACATATTGATAGACATTATTGTCTTGCATCTGTTAAATATGCAAAGCAATTTGCTTCAATGTTTGCTGATATATCTACTATTATTTCCCAAGATGATAAAGCGAAAATAGGTCTTGGAGTATCTGCAGTAGGTCAAACATTTCGCATCTTACAGTCAATAAATGAGCCTGTATCTATAGCTGATCATGATTTTCCTATAGGAAGCGGGCAAAAATTGATTCCTTCAGTATATTTAATTATGAAACTAGAAGAATCAAAAGATGAACTTTGAACAGGACAACTTGCAATTTTTGTACGTCCCCAATGGTCCATTGGTACATCCTTACTTACACATATGCAAAATCTGGAAAGCCTCACTTTAGATTTCAAATATGACGATATGCTAAAAACTAGTAATGGACAAATTCGGCTTATTTAGATGCTACTAGTAGATGGAGGACCAGACAAAAATCCTAGACATTTAAAAAACATAAAGGTATATTGTCAGCTTTTTAAAAAGTTTGATTTAGATTACCTAAGCATACGAACCCATGCTCTAGAACAATTTAAATATAATCCTGTTGAAAGAAGTATGGCAACATTATCTGGAAAACTTGTCAGAATTACGTTGCCAATTGATCATTTTGGTAAACATTTAAATTCACAAGGCAATGTTACAGATCCTGAATTGGCTGCTCAAAATTTTCAATATGCTGGAAAGGCTCTTTGTGATATTTGAAGTCATGATTTAATTTTTGAAAAACGTGTTGATGCTTAATACATTAACACAATTGAGAATCCTTTTGAGGATTTGCAGTTTAAGAGTACAAAAAAGGAGAAAGATGAAGAATTAGAAAGACAAAAAAAACAGAGACAAAAAAATGCACAAAATAAAGATAAAG